ATATACAATATGTAAAATAATATGTATCCATTAACCCTCCTATTAACCTCTTGCCGTCTGCCCATTGTAAAATTATGTGCGGACGGCGAATGCTTCCTGGTGGGTGGACGTACATTTACACCAAAAGAAAGCTCTATCTGCCTCTAAAAAATTGTAAAAAATTCATTTCAGCACAGCGTTGCATGACGGAATAAATGCCAGTCAAAGTAACGCAGCGCTGAATACTGAAAAATGGTCTGGGCAGGAAGGAGGTTTAATACCCCGGTCAGCAAGTGGTTAAACATGGGTACCTCAATGGGACTGACTCATAAGATTTGTTAGATAATTCATAGATAATGTTATGACTCACGTCCCGGCTTCCTGATTGGTCAGGAAGCCACACTGCCTAGAAACAAGTGAAGTTGGCCAATCAGGAAGCCAGGAGGCGGGTCATGACGTGCTGCCCACTTTCCTGATTTGCTAGAAAGAAGGCTTCACTTATTGCTAGGCAAGCCTAGCTTCCTGACCGATCATGACTCGCTGCCCTGCTTTCTGATTGGTCAGGGAGTCTCTGAAGCTGGCAATCAGGAAGCCGGGCGACTTCCTGATAATCAGGGCACAATGCACCAATACTCGGTATGGACGAGTACCGGAAAAAAAAAATCGGTACTTGATACTGAAAAACCGATATCGTTGCATTCCTACAAAAAAAATGTCCGCTTGCCAGTGTCCTAACCTCCTGTAAGCGGCAGTATCACCTGACAGTTTCTGAAATCCTGTGTTCGGCAATGGAAATAAAAAAGATTTTGGAGCAAGGACAAAAACCTTATTATTTTCAGTTGAGTCCAATAAAATGTAAAAATTACAGTCTCCGGGCTAAAAATAGTGTCTTTGGCTGGTGGTTAAAGGTGTAACCCGCCGAGAATCGTACGATTCTCGGCGGGTTAGTGGGCTGCTTGTTCGACAACTGCTGAACGGGCCGGTGTGCGCACGCGCACACTGCCCGTTTGCAGTGATCGTTTCACTGCGGTCATCGGAAGCCCGCACCGCTGAGGCAAGTACGATCTGTCCGTCCAAGATGGGCAGATCGCACGAGCTTTCAATGAGCTTACGACCATCGCAAGACAAAGGTCTTGCGATGGTCGTAAGGTGTATGGGCACCTTAAGGCTTTGTGGATTGACCTTATGTCACCATGGCATGGTTGGCAGACCAACTGTCAGATGCCAGAAGACTTCTAAATCCTTTGACACTCCAGCTAAAATTTCAGGTTGTGACAAAGGGCTTTTGTTTGCTTCAAACAGGTTCATTCTTATACATTTCTTGGGAATGCAAAACCAGCTTGAAGCAGGTGAAATGCAGGTCAGGAGGTCAACTGCAGTTCAAATGCACCTGTCAAGGAATTCTGAATGCTCTCAAACTGGTCTCGATCTGATGCCATCGACCCAAGCCTAAAGAAAAGCTAAAAAATAAAATAATTTTGTAAGAAAGACTACACAGTTATATTTCTTGAAAATTAAAATCCCTGTTTAAAATCATAGTCCGCCCTTCTGACCATGTTTAATGTTACACCCATATTTAGGGTATACTGCATTTTTATTGTTTGTTTTTTCTTAACAAAGTTCTTCTGTTCTGCTCACTTTTTAATGTTTTTCGGGTTGCTGTGGTAGATCTGTTGACATGTGAGTGCAGATAATTTACAACATGGATGTTTTTACGAGACCAATTTTATTTTTTTAACACGTGTAAAAATTTGTGTTTGTTTTTGTGTTTGTTTAAAACCCACAAAACGCTATATATGTTCAAAAATAAATGCTTATTATAGTTATTAGGAAAAAAATACACTAAATTAAATTTTAGTGCACACAAACACAATATAATACCCAAATATAAAAGATTGGGTTGCATCGGGTAAATAGATACCAAATATGTCAAAATTCTACGTTACCCAAAATTGGCTAAAAGTGATGTTTTAAAAGTTTTTACCACTCCTCAGTTTAGA